GCCCCGAACACCCGCCTCTCCTAACCACCCTACCTGTGCACAGTTACCACCCAGTTAACCCCTATCAGTGGATTAATGCGCCGATCGGCTTTTATAACCCAATCGTTTCACCTCTAAACTTCCTTTCATTGTCTCTCACACGAGCTTTTTGGGGACACTCGATATCAAAACCATAGCACCCCCTAATGCAGCTCCATCCCATTCATCCTCCCCTGTTTTTAATGATATACTGTGTTATGTTGGGGCTTTTACATTTTTCCAGTCTTTTTGTTTCCTCTGAACCCCATTTCTCATCTCCCAAGAAAACAGTTCTTTAAAAATAATGAAAGATGGTTTCTAACTTCCCCTTGGATAGTCATCTATAGCTGACCACCTGCTGGAGGACCGGACCTTGGAAGCCTCATTGGAGTGTCAGAGAACAGACATGTCAGCCCAAGGTCTTGCTCAATGTGATGAGCGTTTCAAAGATCCTGGGTGGGGGGATGTTAATTTCCTTCAGGAGGGAGGGGCTCATTAGACTTTAATAGAGAGGACAACATATGCTAAATTTTATTATTGATTCAAAAATTTTATGGTTACTAGAATGAAATAAGACATTTCCTTAGTAGTCTATAGACTTTATTAGTGTCTGAGGTTAGTTTCATTCTGTGTATTTGAAAAGGTGTTGGAGAAAAACTCTAAGGGTTGCAGAGCAAAGTGCTTAAAAGAAAGAAAAAATATAAGAAATGACTAGAAGCCTTCTGTGCTATTTTATGATAAAAACAGAAAGATGAATGGTTAGTTTAACAATTATTTTATATAAATGTATATATATATTCACACACCTATGTATGTGTGTATATATTTATATATTTACATAAATACGTGTTTATATATATACTATATATAAATATGTGTATATATATGTAAATACATATTTATATATAGTTTTCTTTTGTTCATTTTTACCGTATAAGAATGAAGGGGAGAAAATTCATCTTCTTTCTCCCAGCCTCTGACCCCTTGCAGCCTCTGAACAGATGTCAGATCTCTTCTGATCTATTTAATTGACTTTTGTTTGCATAGAACAAATAGATGTGGTGGAGGGGGGTGAGGGTGTCTGAGAAAGAGATAGGAGGGGTGCAGGGAGGGGTGTGGGGAGGGGGTGGGAGGAAGAAGAGAGGAAGGGCAGAGAAGAGAAGAGGTGCAGAGAGGGGAGACAGAGGAGGGAGACGAGAGACCAGAGATAGGACAGGCAAGTGCCCTGGCCGTGGACAGCTGGCCCACGGTGGTGTTTTCCTGGGTCTCATGCAAAGCACTGCTACTGTGCATAGGTCCTCCACATTTCCGGGAGAACGGATGGAAGTGGTGCAGGCAGGTGGAGATGAATGGAGGTGGTGCAGTCAGGTGGGGAGTGCCCGGAGGTGATGCAGACAGACTGTGGGGAGCGGACCAATGGCCACAGGTTCTGAGACATGTGGACCAAAAGATAAAGATTTGATGTTTTACTCTTTTCAACTCCTTTCCTCCCAGGCCTTCTTCTCAGTGGCTGAGTGAAATTTCCTTTCTCTGGGCTCTGTCTGTTTTTCTTATTTGGTTGAGGATGACCCAACAAAATACCACACCCTGGGGGCTTACAGACAACAGTCATTTATTTCTTACGTTCCTGGAGGCAGCAAGTCCAAGGTCAAGTGCTATCAGCTCTGGCCTCCGGTGAAGGCCTGTTTCCTGTTCATAGATGGTGCTTTCTCTGCCCACTCCCGAGGTGGAGCAGCTCTGGGCTGTGTTGAAAGGGCACTAATCCCACTTAGCAGGGCTGCACTCCATGACCCAGTGGCCTCCCTAAGGCCCTGCCTGCTGATACCTCCTCCTGCGGTGACCAGGGTCCAGCATGAGTCTCAGAGGGGAGGGCACAAGTGTTCAGACCATCTCTATGTTCACAGGTTTGCTGAGTAGGATTTGATCATTATTTTGAAGCAAGAAAGACATGCTAAGCAGTTATTCTCCATATTTGGAGGAAAATACAAGAGAAGATGTGATTCTCTTGCAGAAGCAATAGTGTAGAGCCTGTAATTGATGAAATACTTGTTTAAGGTCGGTTAGAGGTGAAGATGTCTTTCTGGCATGAGATTGACTGGATTCTAGAATAAATTCTTAAGCAGAGCAGGGTGCAAGTGTGCTGGGTGGCTGCCCCAGGATGAGGTCGGGCACAGGCGTCTCAGGTCCCTCCAACGGCTGGGGTCGTCACCAGCTGCTTTTTCCCCTTTCTTTTCTGTCTTTCCGATTTGAAGTGTCCCTGCAGTGTTGGCCTCTTTATGCGACGGAGGCGATGCTTCTCATGTTTTAGTTATGTTCTCCCCAGTGGAGTTCCGGGAGGCACGGTGTGCGTGAGGCTGCTTGAAGAAGGACAGATGTCTCAGATGACTCGAAAAGAGGGCCCCGCAGTCACCAGAGAACAGCTTTTCTCCTCTTACCTAAGGAACAAAGGGAAGCCATACTAATGACCCAGTTTCAAGGATGGAAAGATGAGTACAGAAACTTGGTACAACTTCCATGACTTTTCTACCAGAATCTCTGGACTCTGTTCTCTAAATTGGCCAGTTAGGTCAGTGGCACGGACATTGGGCATCACTCTGTCTCTGGGAGAGGCAAAATGATTCTGTAAGAAAACACACCAAGTTAGAAAGGAAAACAGTCCGTCTTCTTTTCCACCAGGGAGCCTCGCTCTGCTTCTGACCTGCCCATGCAGGGGAGCCTCCCCTGGTGTTTCAGAGGGAAAGAAGGGAAGCAGCTCTTCTTGCTTGTTCTGAGAAGGAGGCTGCTCCAGCCCCGGGGCCGCGGGTGTTCAGTGAAACGGCTTGGGTGGTCTTTGACTTGAGATGGGCGAGATAATTCACTTTTACTGTAATTCATCAAGCTCCTGGCGGAGCTTATTAAAAAGACCGGTTCCCAGGTCACTGTCCACTAACCACTGCTGACCCAATCAGCCATGGAGACCCGGTCGAGACGTCTGAATTTCCAAGGCCCTTGGGCTGGGTCCTGATGGCATGCTGATCTACTGAAGTCCCAGGGATGGCTTTAGCACACAGGCATTATTCTGCCTAGATCTTTACTTTTGAGCTAGTGCATTCCAGACACTCAGTTTTCGGAGTTTGACATATTGGAAGAAGCTGTGAATCGAGAAAGGTGGTTTCCTACCAGTGTGGAACTTCTTCCTGCCCCATGTCCTGTCCTTCAGGTCTACCAGCACCCGCTCAAGGGAGAAAGAGCACCCAAACCATCTACTGTCCCCAGCCAAGCTGAGGTGGAGCCAGCCCCAGCTCTGGTGGAGCAGGCACACAGGGCCTGTGTGCAGGGTGACGTGTGACTGCCAGGGAGCGCCAGCCCAGCGGGTGTGGTGCTGCATGAGGGTCCCAGCAGCAGTCAGGCGCTGAAGAGCCTCCACTGAGCGCAGTTAGTGGGACACGTACACGATCACAGGCTTTTAGGAGCCTTAGATAAATGATCCTTTACGCAAATACCTCTTTGGTATGCTTTCCAATATTTATATTGCAGGTCATAATTCAGTCACATTTCAAAACTACCGTGAACCAAGAAAAAAGTGGCTTTCTTTCATGTTTGTGAGAAAACTAGTGGAATTACTAAAAATGTAAAGGCAAAATTTTTATGGACTTGCAAACAAGGAAACAAACAGTGTCATAAAAAATATTCCGTACTCAGGACACACTGTCATCTGCCCTGTGGATCTTGATAAGATATGGATCTTCATAAGGTGCTGGGATCTGTTTCTGCCCTAAGCTTTGCTCTTAGTAAACATTTCTGAAAAGAAGCAATGAAACGGATAGAGTATCGATAAGGGCTGTTATTTTTCAAAGTGAAGAGATAGTCTGATTGTCTTTGGGAAGAAAAGGGGATGTTTTCCGATCAATTTGTGGCTATAATCATATCTGGATTGTTTGGTTAAATCATCTGAGAATGGCGTTTCTCTTACTCTAATGGATAAATGGACTGACAGCAAACACCCCTTATACAGGTGAGCAAACCTTCCATTTGCTTTGTGTGCCATACAGTAAGTGCCTTTAACAAGCCAGCTTCCACCCGGTAACACCTGTCCACAGCTTTTTATAGTTGAGTTGTTTTACTGCTTAAATGGAGTAGGCACAGTCTAAGAACCGTTTCCTTGGTTCATCACCTTCACAAATGAGTAAGTTGAGGCTCAGGGAGGAGATAGATATATATATAGATATAAAATAGGAATATGTGATAATATACGTATGTGGGTGTAAATTATATATATATATATATATCTCACATGGGGTATTGAACCCAGGGTCACTCTACCACTGAACTAATTTACAGTCTTTATTTTATTTTGAGATGGGGTCTTGCCAAGTTGCTGAGGCTGGCCCTGAACTTGTGATCCTCCTGCACATCCAGCAAGGTCCTATCATATTTGAAAGGCCATGAACCACTGGCTTTTGGCACAGACCTGCTGTCAGTCCCGAACCCTTGCCTCTTGACAGTGAGCTCCCTTCTGCCTCCTGACTGCTGGCGTTTGCAGCTGACTTGAGATCTGGCCGCCCCTTAACCACTCCACATGTGAGTGCACAACCCTGGCTGCCTGTGAGAAAGGACAGGTCAATCGGTTTCTGCCCCTTGGACAAGGGGAGGCAAGAATGTGTCTCAATGCTTTGATGCTCCTTGTCCTTTCCAAGAGCGAGGACCGTGGCAGAGGGCGGGGGCCAGAAGTGGTCACATGGGGAGGCCAGGAGTGTCCTTGTCTGATGAACTCACAGAGCAGAGGCGAGTCCTGCCTTCTCTGCCCACCGTGTAACGGCCACCTGCTGTCCTTGAGAAGCAGCCCAGGTGAGCGGCGGAGGGGCTGAAGTGCCCGGGGAGATCTGTGGGCCCTCCTGCCAGCCTCTGCTCGTGGATTTGGGAGCACACAGGCCTGGGTTAGCTCTGACTCTGCATCCCATGTGGGGCCGTGGGCATTTGCCTCAATCTTCTGAGCCTCAGTTTCCCCATCAACAACCTATGGATCCTTTAGGGTCGCTTCACAGGGCGGTGGCAGGGACTTGGTGGAAGGTGCAGGCAGCCAGGCATGGTCAGTGTTGGTCGGCAGGGGGATTCCCTTGGTTCTGTCGCCACCTTCAAGGCCCTGGAGGCCCTGCGTGGTGCTGGAGCTGCGTTCTTAAGGGAGAGCCCCGTGGCTCCTCATATCCTGTAGTGTGTGTGCCACACAGTAAGTGCCTTTACAATATTCTCTTAATTAAGGCACTTAAATAAATGGAACTCTGTTTCCTGTTTGAATTCTAGCGGTGGTTTTCAGTGAGTCACAGTGAGCTATCTAGAGCTGCCTTTCAACACGTAGTGAGCAGTAAAGTCCTCCTAAGGCCCGAGTCCTCCTGGGGCTTCGTCCCACCCTCTCAGAGTGCCACCAGCTGGCAAGGTATTGTCCACATCCACGCACATGGGCGCCAGGGACTGAGGGGCAGTCCGCTGTGTCAGGGCACCGAGGAGGGATGACTCCTCCTGTCATTCACAAAGGAAGACGCAGACCCTGCCTCCACTCTGCAAGTCGTTCTGAATCAGCCGCAGGGAGGGAAGGCTGCCGCCCGCCAGTGAGCAGGTGGTCCCCGTCAAACTGGGTGAAAGGTCAGCGCACCAGTCACTGTGCCCCTGAGTCCCCGAGGCTCAGGAGGAGAAGTGAGCGTCTTCAGGTGTGTCACGGAGGTGACCACGGGGAGCTGCATGGCCAGAGCAGCTCAGGGGCACTGGCAGAGAGCCCAGGTCCTTAGCCTCTGCCCCTCTCTGCCCCACGCCATGGGCACAGTTGGTTGGATCCTGTGAATTCCACACGAATCACAAAATTGCCGTGGAAGGTACTGGCAGGTCTGATGCAGTTTCAAACACAGATTCTACAGGAAGTGGAGGCTGACCCCGACAGCAGTCTCGATGCCTTTTCCCTGATCCAGGGAATCACGTACAGATTCCTCCTTTCTCTTTAGAACGCTGGGTTCTTTCTGTTGTAAAAGACAGTTTTCCTTCTCTTTCCCCTCCCCTCTCTCCCCCAGACGGCGCAGACGGTCCTGGTGGTGGTGGTGGTGTTTGGGATATCTTGGCTGCCCCACCACGTCGTCCATCTCTGGGCCGAGTTCGGGGTCTTCCCGCTGACCCAGGCCTCCTTCTTCTTCAGGATCGCCGCCCACTGCCTGGCCTACAGCAACTCCTCCGTGAACCCCATCATCTACGCCTTTCTCTCCGAGAACTTCAGGAAGGCCTACAAGCAAGTGTTCAGGTGCCACGTCCACAACGAGTCACCGCCCAGTGACAACAGAGAGACCAGAAGTCGAGTGGACACCCCTCCGTCCACCAACTGCACTCACGTGTGAGCCCAGGCCCCGCTCTCCCGGGGCGAGCCCACCCAGGCCCTGGGCGGCCTCCGCGGTTCCCACCTTTCAGATGCGTGTTCAAGAGTAACTCTGACCCACTTAGGAACTCCCAGGTTCAGTGAAGAGCATTCTTCAGTCTTATTTTCTTCCTAAATTGTAATTCAGAAACAAAACAAAAAGGCCAACCAGTTCTAGACCTCTTAAAGAGGTCAGTAGAGTTCTATAATGTGTTCAATTCTTCATGAGATAAGAACAGGCCCCATAAATAGAGTGAAGAATATTTGCAATCTACATTTTAAAGTAGATTTATTTAGAAAAAAAACTTTGGTGTTTTAATCCTCAGTTTTAAGAGAAGTCATATTAGAAGCCGTGTGTTTTAAAGTATGGTTGTGCACGTAGAGTGATGACTGTCATCCTTCAGCCGTTTACACACGTCTGCACTGTGGAAAGAGGCCCCCTGGAGTCTGTGGAGTGGGTGGCCTCTGCTCCCCTCCTCAGCCGCAGGCAGACCTTCTGCGGATAGGCTGCACCTGTCTGTGACCCCGAGGCCATCAAGTCCACCTCAAGAGGACAGTGCAGGCTGGGGCAGGAGCTCTGTCCCTGAACTTGGGCTCTTGTGGTTCACTGTGTGGACTAGAGGAAGGGGTGCTGTGCTCCGCATGTGGGAGCTGCACAGGACGTCTCGCAGGCTGGCGCTGAGGTTTGGCGTGAGCAGCTGGCGAAGCCCGGAGCTGGGCCTGCAGCGGAGCCACCATGAGGGCTTAGAGAGTCGGTGAGGACGATGTGGAGACAGCAGGTCATTGGGCAGAGGTTGGATCAGTAAGTCCCACGAGCCGTGGTCTTGCCATGTGGACAAGGCATGCTCATTGTTTGATTAAACATCATTAGATGAAAACAAACCTCATGAAAGAAAATACCAGAAACATCCCGTCTTATATGAAAATAGGCTTTTTCATCAAATTTGTACCAATGTTTAATGTATTTTTCACCAAATATCATTCCCTCTGGTAATGTTGATTTGGAGTTAAGACCTTCACATTTGAGTTCTAAATGTGATTTTCACAAGAATTTCATGTTTATTCATGTTAACAATGAGAAAACGATATGGACTATCAAATCGTGTGTACTAGGAAAGTCATTTTCAGGTGCAAGACTAGTGTATTTTTGGACACTAAAACAGGGAGATTTCTTGTGAAAAGGATATTGTGTAACATATGCCTGTGTCAAATCAGAACTCCATGTGAAATGTAAAATTTTAGATTGAAAAACCCAGGTTCAGCGGGAGCCTTTGGCACTCTAACTTTGCTAGTTCATAACTATACCCCCCCGGTGCACAGGGTTAACCTTTGGAAAGGTGTAAGTAACTCTGGACAGAATAGGAGAAAATTGTTAAGATGATGAGAAATTATGAGGTTTCATGTTTATTCTAGGAAAGGAGGTGGGATGGGTGGAGGTGAAAGAGCTTTGTAAGTCCTGTGCATGGGCAGTTTTTGTACTTTATGGAAATACGGGAGCAGAAAATTAGCATCCTGGGGATGAGACCCCATGGGACTGGGGAGCGGGAAGCTGCCGCTGCAGACCTGCAGACCACGGGACCAGCCTGTGCACGGGCCACGCTGTGGAGTACTGCCTGTGCGCTGACCTGCTTGCCTGGGCTTCGCTTCGGTTCACAGCATTTGAATGGACTGTTGAAAACACAGGGGTGATGCTGCTTCTCTTGGATCGTGAGTGAGCCTCCTTCAGGGTCTATTTCCCCTGTTCCTGCATTGCCTTGGTCCTCCCCGGATGCTGCTGGTCCAGCACAGGCTCGAGTAATAATGCACTTGCACCCCCACCCACCCCGGTTTGCTTTACATATGAGCAAGCTGCGGAACATGAATGCAGACTGCTACACTTAATGCTTAGGTAGGATGTTCTTCCTGCACATTGCCATTCCAGTCAGTTGCTCCTATTTTGAGTTTAGGTCGAGTCTTCTTCTAAAACAAATTTGAGCATGGGCAGTAGCTTCCTTCCTGCAGTGATCTAAACCTATGTGAAATGATCTGAATGGGTGGTTCTGGGCGCTCTGTGGCAGAGCTGTTACCTGGAGAAGCATAGGAGCCCTGTGCTGCTGCCGGGCGTTTGCAGGTGTTGTCCCTAATATTAATTACCATGCCTGGTGTGGAAGTGCCTTCCTTTGTACGACTGAGCTGCGAGGCCTTTGTGCGTCTGGGAGAGGTGTACCTCTCCTTCAGACAGCCAGGCAGTGAGGAGGTGCTGCCTGTGCCTTTGAAGTCAGGCTGTGAGAACCACGCTTTCAGTGTACTTCAAAGAGAACTGAGGCTTTCTGCCCAGGTTTGGCTGCTTCAGGGCTCCAAACAGCTGCCACTTTTCTGTGATTTTTGCTTTCACATTGGGAAACAGATGGGTTCGGGAATATTTAAACAGATGAAATGCTTGCTCTTTTATGTGTGCAGATGACAACTCTGGTTTCCCACTGATGAACATGGTGATGTGGGTGGGAACGCTCTCCTATTTCACCTTCCTAGGAGATACCCTTAAAGAGTCATTCTGGGTTATTCTGATCACGCATGAGCTCAGCAGCATGGCAGACTAAGGCCAGTTTCAGGATAGTTTAGGACAATCACTTTTGCTTGATCTACAGTGTTTTATTTTACACATTGGGAGTAAAGTCATCATTTCCTGTCCCCTCCCCAGCCTCCTGTCTCTCATCTTTTTCTCTCTGCTAGCTTCTTGCCGTGTTCATCACCCTGATGCTTACCCTGGTTGCATTCCTCCAACCCTGATGGTGTGAGTCAGTGGAGAGCAGCGGGGATGTCTGCATCCCATGAGTCACACAGGGTGCAGACTTCTTGTGACTCAGCTTTGAGTCCTGCTGCTGGTCCTCTCGGGTGCACGGACACCTGCAGTGATAATTCTACTGCTCACAGAATCGGAGACTGGCAGCCTCTGTGCAGGGGAGGACAGCACACCTGAGCCTTGGCTCCCTTCCCCTGTGGCCACAGAGACCTGGCAGAGCTCACGGGCTGGGGTTGGAGAGCACTGCCCTGAGGAAAGCCAGGTGCCGCCAGCTTCCTCATGCTTCAGTGACTTGCCACATCCATGCGTGTGACTCACGCAGCCAGGCAACTGGGTGAATGCACCCGTGTGGCTTCTTCCCGGGAAACTCCCGTCTGCCCAGTGTGAATTCCATTCGCCTGGGCTGCAAATGTCTCCTATGTGTTAAAGCGGCTTGTCGGTGGCTGTTGGAGGGAATCAGATTCTTTTTGCCTGTTAAGATGTTGCACATTAGGTTTCTTCTCAATTAGATGCTAATGACCTGTTCATGACTTGCTTATTTTATGACTGCAGATAGAGTGAAATTCTTAAATTCTCATCCTAATCTGTTGGCATGGAAATAAAAATGATCATATGGCAATTATACCAGGTTTTAATTGACAGCGAATTTCGTGTTTTCTCCCTTGGAAGTGGAGAAGCTGAGCCTGAAGTACCATTTGGGATGCTCAGACACCTTTGCTACGGTGTGCCTGGATAGGGGGAGCGTATCTACTGTCTCTGATATTGGCATTGTGATGCATTGGTCAGGGGCGTGGCTTGCTTGCTGGTGAGGGTGTCCTTTTCTTGGTGTGGCAGGCTGGCCTGCCATCCTGGCGTTCTGAGGCCACCATATCTACTTCCTGAGCCAGCTGTAGAAATGCCAGCAGGCCCCGAGCAGATGCTTCTCTGCAGGACTCAGTGCTGCCCGTGCAGTGGCTGGTGAGCTCTCCTGTGCCCCGTCAGCTTTGTCAAGTGCCCTACACACTAGGGCTCTGTCCTGGTGCATCCGCAGAGGAAGGGCCAGGATGGTGGGTGGCAGTGCCGAGACAGGGAAGGTGGCATGTGAGAAACCACCCCAGGTGGGTTTCCATTCCTCTCTCAATACTGCTGCTCCTGCTGTCTTAGATCCCCGCTCCAGGAGTAGATCCCTTAGCGGGAGGTTGCAATGATGCATCTGTGGGGAAAGCTTCCTCTTTCTTCTGGAGCGCGGATTTCTGCATATCACAAAGTACACTGCATGGCTCCAGTTTTCTAACCGCTGGAGAAGTCAAAGGGAAGTAAAGATCACTGGCCGCCAGAGTATGTGGAACTGGGTTCAGTAAATGAACTCTGTAGCTCCTCCTCCCAGACCCGCCCACACGTGTCTGCTTCAGTCAGCCCGTGGACATGTGTGGAGCAGTAACTGAAAATCAGCTGGAGAAGAGGTGGTTTAGGAGCGGCCCTCCCTCTGTGGAGCTGACGTCTCCAGGGACTCTTTCCTTCCACCCAGTGTTTCCCTGTGTTTGTTTTGAATTCTCTTCTCTCCTCTCGTATGGTTATTTGCATTTCTGCACTTGGATCCTGCAGTGTCTGTCGGGGTTGAGGGGTTTGCAGAGGCCCAGGCCCACACCTCCGGTGTCCTCGCGGTTGTGTCTGGATTTAGGGTTTCCCTGTTTGTACAGCAGAGTGTAAGAAACAGGAGCTTCATGAGCAAATCACTCTGTTCCAGATCTCAGGGGCCTTCAGTCAGATGCTTCTCCCGACGGGCTTTGTGCCCCCGAGAACTGGTTCCTGGGAGTGGTGGGCCTGTGTCCTTACTTCTGCGATGGTGTCACTCAAAGCCAGCGTCGGCCAGCAGCAGGAGAAAGATCCCAGCTGTGGTTTCAGAGGCAGCGGCAGCAGTGCTAGGCTCTGGTCTCCTTAGGAGAAGGTCCTCAGCTTCACAGAGCCCCAGCATCCCCGGGGGCTGGTCAGCAGACTGCTGGGCACGCCTCCTGGTTGGCACCGGGGTGGGCTGGAGTGAGGTCTGAGATGTGCATCCTCTTGGTGAGTCAGTGCTGCTGGCCCAGAGGCCGGGTTTTGAGAACCACTAGCTGGTGACTGGTCAGGAGGTGAGGCAGCCCAGGGTCTGTGGTATTTGCCGTATGGCCTCCACCTGCACTCCCAGAGTCAAGGACTTTCCAGGTTGAGAGATGGGCCTTCACAGGTCTCAGCTTCTGTGGTTCTGTGGGAAAAGGAAATTGCAGGGGATTTAAATCACTCGTTTTTTATTGTTTACATTGATTGGATTCACAATATCTGTTCAAATACCACGTCACGCCTGCCACAGAACTGGGGTGTCCAAGAGCAGGAGGGATTGGATGGCCCGCCCTGGAGGTTTAGAGCTGATGGCAGAAAGGAAAGGGGCACCTCTGCATTCACTCTGCCCACCACACAAAGGTCAAAATGGCTGCGAATGGAGTTTTGAACGGGATGTTTAGTGTTTTAACTTAATGTTTAAATTAAATATGTGCATGTTTTTCTATGTGGCTGTTAGTTTTTGCTGTCGTTATTCTCTACGAGAGGTAAATGTAATATTCTTTATCATTATAACTTTTGCTTAAACATTCCCTGATAACATAAGTGGTGTGAGCAAGGAAAACCATCCGTGTGTGTTGTGTTTTGATTTCCCTGACCTGTGGCTGCTCACACGCTGCTGTACAGATCATGCTGGACCCGGTCTCCCGACGGTGGGTGCTGCGGCTCTCACCCTCTAAGGAACCGGGTGCAGACTCATCTCATCGCTGTTAGCTCCAGAATGAACGCCCCAGGCTCAAAGCCCGAACCCAGAACTAAGAGTTCAACTTCGTCCTTTGACCACCACAGAGTCACTCTGAGTCACCCTACCTCTGTGCGCTGCATGACATCTGGCTGGACTTTGTGATTTGAACCCATTTTCTTTGATTGAAATAAAGTTTGTTCTTCAAAGCGTTTAGTTTAAGAGTGTGCTTCCCCCCATTTCATAAGGCACTTCCCCGAATACGGGGCCCAATCTGCCGATGTGAATGAAGTTAGCTTCATCATTATGGGATGCCCGTATGGAGGGTAGGACAAATCGTGTTGGCGGAAAATTGACACTTCTATCTGTAAATGTTTTCTTCTTTCCCTTCTCGCCCTCCTCTTCTCTTTCCCTTATCTATTTTTAAAAATAATGAATTCTCTTATTTTTTTAAAAAAGAATACAAAATTTACTACAAGAAATTATACAGAAAGTAGCATTTGCCACAATTCCACCCCAGAGGTGGCCTCCTTGCCCCGTCTGAGCATCCTGTGGACTGCCTCCAGGGTCAGGCGCGGCAGCAGGACTGGCTGGGCAGGAACGGCAGCTGGTTATACTGTGCAAATCCTTTAAAAAATCAGACTTCCATTTCACTTAAATCCCCCACCAAATGAAGTGAAGTTGGGTCAGCTGCTGGACTTTGAATAGCTGATGGCTGTAAGTTTAAACAAAGATCGTCAAAATTCTGGGAACTGGAGTCCTGGCGTGTTTCTGCAGAGGCAGTGAGCCGCGGCAGGGTTCCTTTCCTGCTCAGACACGAGCTACTCCTTCCAGCCCCCAAGCCTGCCTTTGTCTTATATTTAGATCTTTTATGAACTTTATTTACAAGTACAAATTGATAAATTGCTTACCAACAGGCTTTAAAAAAAAAAAACTCTGTTGTTCCACCTTTTGGACTCTTTAGACTGCATTTCAATACAGTTGTGATCCCTCTCTGGACACCATGCTGAATCCCGCTCCTTGATTCACTCAGGTACGGGATGAGAAGCTCATGTGAGTGTTTCTTTTTAATTGACAATAATTGTAAATAATTATGGGCACAATGTGGTGGTTTGATACATGAATTCATTGTGTAGCGAGCAAATAGGGTACTGAGCATATCAGCACCTTGTTTATTTGTGATGAGAATATTAAAAAATCCTCTCTTCTAGTGTTTGAAGAACACAGAGTGTATTATCATTATCTAGAGTCACCCTACGGTGCAGTCACATAGAGAACTTCTTGCTCCTGTCTTGCTGTCACTTGGCAGTTATTGATCAACCTGTCCTTGTCCTTTCCTGCCCACTCCACATGACCTCTGGTACCCACTGCTCACTCTCAACGGCTCAATATGAACTCCTTCCGATTCCACATGTCAGCAGGATCATGCAGTTTTGTCCGTCTGCCTCATGTTGACATCACGCCCTCTAGGGTCATGCAGGTGAACTGAACCATGTTCCCGGGGTACCTGGACCTCACTTTCTGTGCCCACTCACCTGTTGATGGACGCTCAGGCTGATTCCATCTCTTGGCCATTGTGAACAGTGCTGCATTAAGCAAGGAGTGCAGATTCTCTCTGGCATACATACATTGGATGTCTGCCTAGTAGTGCCACTGCTAGGTCATAGGGTCGTTTTATTTCATTTCTTTGTTGGGGAACATCCATTATGGTCACATAAAAGCAAAGGGGATATTAGTGATCATTTAGCCTAGTGATTTCTAACCTTTTAGAGAATAGGAATTCTTTACTATACATAAATAATTCTTGGACTTTTGTATAAAAGTATAAAATGTACTTTTCCTATGTGTGGCTAGAGAAAATACAATGTGAAGAATATAACTGCACATCAATATTTCTCACGAACTTAGATATGAAATTCCTCAGCAAAACACTGGTAAATCACATCCAGTAATGTTTGCTGGAAATTCACCAAGAGTTTAGTTTAGGTTTTAGGTACTTTTTCCACACAGAAAAGATGATTGTGAGATGTCTAGGTACGTCAACTTGCTTGGCTGCAGCGATCTCTTCACATTGTGTTTTATACCCTAAATGTAAACCCCACCCCTATGACCAGGTAGGATTTGTCCCAGAAGGCAAGGCTCGGTGCGTACCCAGACATCAGTGAGTAGAATCCATCCTAGCCTCAGGCCACTAAGGGAAGAAATCCTACGGTCATAATGATACAGAAGAGCATCAGGCTAACCCAACGCCAAGCCTGGTCACAAACTCTGCAAACTAAGACCAGAGGAAACTCCTCTAGTTGATCAGCTGCATCAAACTTACGTGCAAAAGATGGAATGCTTTCCCCTGTGGCTGAGGAGACTGTCCCAGCAGCACAGTATGGAGGTTCTGACCACTGCAATAAGGCAAGAAGAAGTAAAGGGCTCGCAGCCAGGAGGGAAGGGTCAGACTACTGTAGTGACAGGACGGCCCCCACAGGAGTTCCGCCAAGTCCTTAAGAGGGCTGAACCAGTAAGTGATGTCAGCAGGTCGCGGCATAACAGACCACACATGAAATACAAAGTGAGAACTGCTACAGGACCCGGGTGCACTTGAGTGTTTGTATTTTATCAACCACAGTGTGACTTCCAGGCGCTCAAAGCGGAGAGGCTTGTATGTGCTTCATTCAGTCTACGGACAAAGCTGTTTCAAACTGACCTGATTTTTATTGACGAAACGTCAGAGCTCCCATCTCCAATTTTGGGACTAGTTTGTTCCCTACCTCAAATTAAGAGACCCTAAATAAGGGGCTTGGCCATGGGATGCCCGAGCTGAGCCCCCAGGTCTGTCCAGTGTGGTGTCTCCATTGCAATCATTATTAAGAGATATTGAGATGAAATCTAGTTTTAGTACAATAAAGACTTTTAATATCCTTGTTCTCTGACACCCTCGTGTTCAATTCTTTAATGCTGTGGAAGTTGCTTAGTACCAAAATTTCCTTCCCACTTTCCATCATATTTAGTATTTTATTTAGTGAGATGAAACACCATATTTTTTTGGCACAATGCACAAATTTGATGTTTTCTCTATACTTTCATGAGAAAGAGTTGTCATCCTCAGTGAAGATAATTAAGAAAATAAACTAAAAAAAATTATTGCAATTATGTTTGGAATAAAAAACAGTCATTTATGTGTCTTTTAAGTGAAAACTATTTATTTAAAAGATTGATAGGTAGTGGTTAAGAGACAAATAATGTCTTCAACAGGACATTGAAACATGTGTTTCCAAGCCAGGCATGGTGGTGCATGCCCCTAATCCCAGTGGCTTGGGAGGCTGAGGCAGGAGGATAGAAAGTTGGAAGCCAGCCTCAGCAACTTAGGGAGACTCTGGCTCAAAAATAAATAAATAAATAAATAAATAAAAGGACTAGGAATCTGGCTCAGCAATCCTGGGTTCAATCTCTGGTACCAATAAATAAACAAATAAATAAATAAATGTGCTTCCAATACTATTTCTCCTAGATATAGGTAACGTTTAAGGCACAGAAAAATGTCATTTAATAACATTAAGCAGAGACATGAGATGGGAGGGAAAGGGAGAGAAAAGGAAAATTGCATGGAAATGGAGGGAGACCCTCATTGCTATACATAATTACATATAAGAGGTTGTGAGGGGAATGGGAAAATAAACAAGAAGAGAAATGAATTACAGCAGATGGGGTAGAGAGAGAAGATGGGAGGGGAGGGGAGGGGGGATAGTAGAGGATAGGAAAGGTAGCAGAATATAACAGTTACTACTAGGGCATTATGTAAAATTGTGGATGTGTAACTGATGTGATTCTGCAATCTGTATTTGGGGTAAAAATGGGAGTTCATAACCCATTTAAATCTAATGTATG